ACCTGGATTTGATATTTACATTTGAGTGTGTATACTAACTCCCTTCCTCATCATCCTCATGACAGTAATTCAATTTCTATTGGAAATTAGGAAAAGAACAAATTTAACAACAGACCATCATTTAAGTAAATGAAGCCTTGATTCAGAAGGGTGGGCACTGATTGATAACGAGAGTCAAAAAGGCTACTTTGCCAAACTATCACTTACTAGAGGAAAACTAAAAATTACCTAAGCTGACACTCAGGTATTTTGAACTTTCTTTCCTAGACAGGATTTGGTCAGTTTTCCTCCTCTTGGATAGAATGGTACCTAATTTCTCTGTGTAAAACTTGAAGGTGATCTGCAAAGGCTTTTAAATGAATAATGTTTGTTCACTTGAAGACCTGAAAGAGTGAGCTGCTCCCACCTCCCCAACAATATTAGTAATATCAGGGATGTCAAATCAGTTCTTTTCAAGAGGACTTCTTGAAGGTCAGACAGCAAGTGTGCTGTGAGTGATCTCACCTAAATTAAAAGGATGGAGATTGATTATTTAGGAAAGGCATCCTTTCCCCAAAATGTTCATTGGTATGATGTGGTAGGCAGCTGTTTGGCTAACAATCCCTTCCCTTTTCAAGTTCTCAACATTTATGATGTTATAACTTTACAAGTTCTTCAGTCACCATGGACTTTTCCAATAAATTCATAATGTAAAAATAAGCAGAAAACAACCATCAACCTTTTTTGGTGTGTGAAGAAATACAACTTTAGGCCTTTTTTACAAACCATTAAGCCACAAAGGGCACAAGTTCACTTTACTATATCCTTCATAGGTCAACTTCAACAGGAAAAAACATGATGAACAGGATTTTCTATTAAGTAGGAAAATTGGTCTCTGTCCACTCCTACAGAAATAACACATATAAAAACATTTTAAAGGAAAATAAAAAAAATGGGACTAGTGTCTTTTTTCACCTTTTTATCATGTTTTAATTAAGACTTTTCTTTTTAAAGAATTTGTTCTGCTCATTTATTAAGTTAGAAATTCAGGTCTTGACTGCCCTAAAAAGAATTCTCCCCTGCTTTTTCAAATAATTCCCACTTTGCTGATACCAGCAGAACTAAAGCAAATGCTAAGAGTTCTAATGTAGGCAGACATAAGCACCATCTAACTCTACTTGCAGCAAATATAAACAATCTGGTGTTCAAAACAAAGATGGCAACCGTTAATTTGTCTGTACAAGGGGTACTAATGCTTCTAACACTGGTAAAGCTGAATTGGCTTTAGCAACAATGGGAAACTTGAAAAAATGTCTGTAGTGTGGACAGAACCAATGATGACTGGAGAACTACTGAAATGCTCACATCACAAGAATAAAGACAGTGAAAGCTGAGCAACCGAAAAATGAAAAGGAATTTTAGTCAAATTCTTGCTGCTTATGTTAACACGTATTTAACTATTTAATTAGTATTTTGGATAAAGGAAGATTCAAAACCTTCATTCCTTCAGTTCAGCTGAAACGGCGAGTAAAAAATATAATCGGAGACCCCTCCAAAAAGTCTTAAGCAAAACCAGGCAAACACAAAAGGGCACAAGTTCTTTTTTTTTTTTTTTTTTTTTTTTTTGCAGGCCATCGTTAAAGTACAGTTTACTGTGTATCTCTTTGGAAATATTTAGTGGAGTCTTTACTATATTATAAATGAACGATGCAGTACTAATGGCTACCATTTTCTGGAATTCACTGAATTCCTACTCTACCCATCCCTCCCTCCCCTTTTCTTGATCTTAGTACAGAGCAGTTCACACGTGCAGTTTGAGTTCAAAGTGTTCTTAATATTTAAGGAAAGTTTGTTCAGTTAAAAAAATATCTGTGCTTAGAAGCTAGAAATTACTTAGCTACAAAGTATCCGTGCTTAGAAGCTACTTAGCTACAGAAAGTTCAGCTATGCAAAATGGATGAAGCATAATTATAATATATACTTGCCTTGCACTTCTTGAACTAGTATTTCCAGTAAGGAAAAACTTAAAAGCACATCAGTGTACTGCACAATCAACTAAAGATTTTATTGCAAAAAATTCACAACTCTGAAATATGGCAAATCCCATTGATTCTGGATATAATGTATTGTACATTTTTAAAGTACATCAGAAGTAAGAAGCCTGCCAAACAATGAGTGGGGCCATCGGACGATCAAAGAGCTAAAGGAGCACTCAAGGAAGACAAGGCCATTGCAGAAAATCTAAATTAATTTTTTGCATCAGTTTTGACTGCAGAGGATGTTAGGGAGATTCCCACACTTGAGCCATTCTTTTTAGGAGACAAATCTGAGGAACTGTCCCAGATTGAGGTGTCAATAGAGGTGGTTTGGGAACAAATTAATAAATGAAACAGGAGTAACTCAAGAGGACAAGATGGAATTCAACCAAGAGTTCTGAAAGAACTCGCATGTGAAACTGCAGAATTACGAACTGCAGTATCAGGGCAGATAGCTAATGTAACACCGATTTTTAAAAAAGGCTCCAGAAGCGATTCTGGCCATTACAGGCCAGTAAGCCTAACTTCAGTACCAGGCAAATTGGTTGACACTGCAGTAAAGAACAGAATTATCAGACACATAGATGAACGTGCTATGCTGTGGAAGAGTCAACACAGCTTTTGTAAAGGGAAATCATGCCTCACCAATCTATTAGAATTCTTTGAGGGGGTCAGCAAGCATGTGAGCAAGCGTGAGCCAGTTGATATAGTGTACTGGATTTTCAGAAAGCCTTTGACAAAGTCCAACACCATAGGATTGGAGGGAAGGTCCTCTCATGGACCAGTAACTGATTAAAAGACAGGCAACAAACGTTAAGAATAAATGGCCAATTTTCACATTGGAGAGATGAATAGAGGGGTCCCAAAAGGATCTGTACTGGGACCTGTGCTGTTCAACATATTTATAAATAATCTGGAAAGGGGGGGGGGTAAACAATGAGGTGACAAACTTTGCAGACAAGACTAAATTACTCAAGATAGTCTACGTCCAAAGCTGACTGCGAAGAGTTACAAAGGGATCTCACAAAACTGGGTGACTGGGCAAGAAAATGGCAGACAAAATTCAATGCTGATAATTGCAAAGTAATGCACATTGGAGAAAATAATCCCAATTGTACATAAAAAAATCAGGGTTCTAAATTAGCTGTTACCATTCAGAATGAGATCTTGGAGTTGTCATGGACAGTTCTCTGAAAACATCTGTTCAATGTTCAGCAGCAGTCAAAAAAGCTAACAGAATGTTAGGAACCAATAGGAAAGTGATAGATAGTAAGAGAGAAAATATCATAATGCCACTACATAAATCCATTGTACGCCAACATCTTGAATAATGTGTGCAGTTCTGGTCACCCCATCTAAAAAAAGATATACAGAATTGGAAAAAAGTACAGAGAAGTGCAAGAAAAATGATTAGGGGGGGGTGGAACAACTTCCATATGAGAAGAGATTAAAAAGACAGACTGTTCATCTTAGAAAAGAGACAACTAATGGGGAGGGCTCTGATAGAGGTTTATGAAATCATGACTGGTGTGGAGAAAGTAAATAAGGAAATGTTATTTACCCCTTCACATAACACAGGAACCAGGGGTCCCCCAATGAAACTAACAGGCTGCAGGTTTAAAACAAACATAAGGAGGTACTTCTTCCCACAAGTCACAGTTAATCTGTGGAATTTGTTGCCAGGGGATGTTATGAAGGCCAAAAGAATAGCTGGGTTTAAAAAAAGAAGTTCATGAAGTTCAATGGCTATTAGCCAAGATATTCAGAGATTGCATGCTCTGGGTGTCCCTAATCCTCTGACTGCTAGAATCTGGGACTGAATGAAATTGGATGGATCATTCAATAATTGCCCTGTTCTGTTCACTCCTTATGAAGCATCTGGCTGTCAGAAGACAGGATTCTGGGATAGCTGGACCATTGGTCTGATCTAGTATAACCGTTCTTATACGGACGTCTACTGTACTGTGCAACTGCACGATTGGAAAAAAATATATTGAATGTTGAAACCAATCATATAACATAAAATTATCATGCTTAGTCCATTGATATAATGCTATTGTTAGAACAGAGTCACCTGAGATGGTTTAACACTATCAGTGTCAGATCCTACATGCAAGAGAACACATTTAATCAAAACATTACGTTTTAAATAATGAATTAATGATTCACTTGGCTTTCAATTCCTTTTGAACAAAAGTGTTTCATGAAACAACTTTAGCTTCTATATAGTTTCAATTAATACAAGCTTTTAAACAATTAGAATAATTGTAGGGTTAACAATGGAAATATAAACATTTCCTATTGCACATTATTTCTAGAAAGTCTTTATGTGAATGAATAAAATCAATTTACCTCTAAACGCTTTCTTTAAGGACATTTCAGAATAACACCATCATTAAGAAAGTTTGAGGAGGATCATATTAATATTTTAGTTGCACTATTTTGCATTATTTTTAAGTTGATCAAGTGTGAACCCAGCAGGCCTTTAAAGCAGGGTTTTTAGTTATTAGACACCTGTTTTATTTTAAAATTTTCGTTTTGGCACATAAGGACACCACCTACTAGGAATACCATTTTTTCTTGTTGGTTAATTATTAAATTATTACATTTGGAATAAAACAAACACACCGTTCAGTACTGTTTCAGCGCTTCTGTTCTTTCAAAACAATGTACTGAATATTTTTCATAGAAAGCAAAAAATTAGATGCATGGTAAGAGAAATGAGATGTACGATCAAATATATTGCTGAACAATTAAGGTACATTTTAATTACACATAATTGAGTACAAAGCTCTAATGGCAAGGCTACTGCAAACAAAATTGAAGAATTTGTGGGGATATTTTGGCACAATCCCACAAGTGCAATATGGTATATTTATGGTCTCCGTAACTAGTACTATACAACAAGTATGTAATCTTAGCTAGCTTTTCTTTTTGGTTGTATTTTAACTGGATTAGACATAAAATACTAAAGGCATACTTAGGTTTATGGCACCATTTTTATTTGTAAAATCTGCCACTCTTACTACAGCTATGGAACATCACATGCAAGGCTCTGTAGTGCTCCTTTGACAAAATTCTGGAGACACTTGTAACAGGCATTTTGGTTTGTTTTAGTAGCAAATATAAAGCTACTTTGGTTTAAAGTTTACCTTTCTTACTTCAGAAGAATAAATATTAGTACTTTTTTCCAGTGGACAAGAATACATAAGGCCTATTTTTTCCAAGCTATGAATTTTGAGTACTATACTATTTTAATTAATTGACTGCATACTAACAAGAAAAAATGAGGTAAGCATGCTTATATGGACTCTTGACTTCATAGCATCTCCTTTTACTTGTCTACTCCACCCTGGCAGATAAGTATTTTAGTGAGTATGAGCCTAACTCATACTAATAATCAAGTAACTATTATATGCATATATATTTACCCACACATCTCACTAAAATTTATTCAATTGTGACAAAAACATCAGAGTTGAAAAGACTTTTCATTTATTATGCTTCTGTTGCAAGATCAAATTTTAAGGTTTATAATCCAGTGCAAAATCACCACACATTATTCGATAAAAGGAAGGCATTCATTCCCCGAAGGCCCATGTTGTGCACTTAAAGAAAAAAAAGAAAAAAAAAAGGCTTACTGTACATGTGCAAAACCCAGCGAAACTGTGAAATAGTAGTAGACTGGTCAATTTTCAAATTAAGATTTGCTCTTTTGATCTTAAAAAGTATAGACTAATTACAGATATTCTCAAATTGCCTTTTTTAAATGGCTATTTCAAGTTAATGCTACAGCAGGTATCAGTGCCTTATATGTTCTCTGAGAATCCAAGTATTAATTGAAGAAATTCAAAATAAAAATCCACTCTTTTCTCCAGAGATATCCAGACCAAACAGGAAAAGCTTTATATAGCAAAATCTGACTACATTCTTAACATTACGTGGACATTAACGTATAAGGCAAAGCTGTACAGCACTGCTGGAAGATACTGGAGTTATGTACTGGAAGAAACTTATTGCATTTTGGTAAGTACATCATATGGTTGACACAATAAAGAGGAGCATGACTAGTGGCAAAAATACATTAACCTCCTGGAACACAAGTAGGTTAAAAATAATAAAATATTTTAAGGAATCAAATGTATACCACGAGGGAGTCTGTAAATGTTCTCATGCTGTTCTCTTAGACTCTTTGCTCCACTTCTTTTTTGGGCTCCAGTCACACTATCAATTGCCCGTAAGATGAACTGTAAGCAGCACTTCTTCTCAAGGACCTGGAGGGTGGGAGTGGGGGAGGAGGCAGTGCTACTTCTGAAAGTGCTGATTGGATGCAAAGGGGACTAAAGATATAATAAAAGGAAACCTCCTGACAGTGAATCAGATGGGAGATATGGCTCCTTTAGTGCTTTGAGCCTTCTGCAGTTGCCAAATTTCCAGTCTAGCAGCAGCAACAATTTTTAACACCTAAAAGTTTTGTATTATAAGGATAACAACAACAGATAATTTGCACATATATAGTACTTTTTCATGTGTTTTTTCCAAAACGCTTTACAAAGGTAATAAGCACGAGCAGCCCCATTTTATATATGGGGTAACCGAGGCACAGAGAGGTTAAATGACTTGCCACAGTCAAAGCAAAATAGTATCAGAATCTGGGCTAGAACCACTCTCTTGAATTCTAGTCCATGCCCAATCCACCAGATAATAGTGGTTCAATATATGACAAGCACCAATTCAAGCTAAATCTTGAATAGCATATTTGAAAGAATATGAAAAACTACTCACTCTTCAACTGATACACATTAGTTAGGCTGCCATATAACCCATTTGTTCTGACTAGTATGAACGTCTTGACTAAAGAAAAGTACCAAAAAACTCTCCCCCACCAACTACGACTAATGATGTAATTTCCAAGAAGGGACCAATCTGCACACCAGAAGGGTGAGTGATCTAGAATGAACTACACCTGCTTTCAAACCATCTTCTTCTGAAAAAAAGTCTCTTGGATGTCATTAAAGATTGCAGCATCTCCAGGTGTAGTAGTTTCTATAAAATAATCTGTTGTTAAATACAAATGACAGCACTCATAATACAAATTATAGTTCTAAAATGCATGTGTGTGTGTATATATATATATATATTAGGAGAAAATTAGATTTTTTTTTTACACACATATAAACATCTGGCTTATATGTCCAATATAAATTTTAGACAACTTTCCTTATTTAGAATGAATGTTTAAATAACAGAATTATATACAATCTCATAGAACATTTTTTAAAAAATTAACATACTATTCACAAATGCAGAATTATCTAGGACAATCAAAAAGCGTATTCAGAATAAATTAATGTCATACAATTGTGGTTATATTGTTCAGAAAGTCCAATTCTCCCCTTTGAAATGAAACTGAGACCATTGTACCTTAGGGTGAATTATTTAGCAATGCATAAATTCTCTCTCTTTACGTAGAAGTCTTCATATGAACTTAATTTCATTTATACAAAGGAAAGAAGCATGAAAGAGGCACCTCACACTACTGCATTCCACTGAATTAGAATAAGATTTCTATTGAATGGCAATGAAGTCAATGTTTTATCATCTGAACACTAGTAGCCTCTGTGTCCTTGCAAGTTTTACATCTTGAGTTAGCAGCAACATGTTTAATAGGTTCAGTAGTACATTTTTTCCGACACTGGATTGGGCCAGTTTGCATGTATAGTAAGCCATATAGCAGTTGGTGTGCAATATTAGTCCACTCCTGTATGTGAGAACTAATAAATACACTGGGAAACAAAGATAAATGAGACTTTAACTTTTAGTTTAAATGTTTTCAGTCTATAAAGAGAAAAACCACAAGAAAACATAGTGAAATTAAGTAAGTACCATATTAGGGTGCAAAGGAGTAGAGCGGAAGAGGCTACAGGAAATAGATAAACTATTGAAAGGTCAAGAAAATGGAAAATTCAAGCTGTGGAAGATCTCAATAAAACCTGCAAAGCAGCATTAGTTTGGGGGTCAGGTATGCTATGTTTGATTTATCAAAAGTTTATTAGTATAACCGGCATATTTGCAATCAGGTTGATGGGACTTAATTCTTTAATTACTCCGGCTCTTAATGGACATGTTTAGGGTTTAGCCCTTGGCATTCTATTTATGTAAAATGTTTGACAAACCTCCAGGAACCAAATAATATGACCAACTCTACTTTGTATTTCAATATTTTGGTCCCAATCTTGCAAGGTGTTTAGCATTCAACTCCCATGGACTTCAGTAGGAGATGAAGACACTCAATACCTCATTAACTGGGGCACTTTTTTATTAATACTGCTGGTTTTCCTTTTGTAGTTTAGAATGGTAAACACCAGGGTTAAAGTAAATTCTAGAGGAAAACTTGTTTTTACAGCAGTAAAAGATGCAGGTTACGTACTGAAGTTTCCTTGATTATTTCTTTTCAGTAAGTATATAATGCATATTATGCACAACTGCTCACATATATATATATATATATACACATGTCTTCTATATACTGTACATGACTTAGTAATTGTCTATGGAAATTTAAAGTGCCACAGCTCAAATGTGCTCATCTGACTTCCCATGGGCTTTTGATGAATTCTCTAGTCACCTACAGAAATGAGACCCTGGCTTTATGACAACCGGTGTTTTTAGAAGATGAAATTAATCCTTTCACAGCTGTACTAACTGGAATCCAGTGGTCGAACTAATCCTTCTTTGTAAACACGAAGAATAGCTTCACACACGAACTTGTACTGACTCTGTGTAATGAAAAAAAGAATGAGTAAAACTATTAATGGTCAGTCACATCACTTACAAGCTATTGATTATAGTGTAGTAATGAATACTAACTAAACACTGTAAACTACCTTCAGCTTTATTGCCACCTGTTGCACTAAAACATGGGCAGGAGAAGTGGACAGATACAAAGACAGATAGAAAAAATAAAAATATTACAGCCCCACTCAGTGGAGATATGTGCAGAATTTACACTCCAGTAAACGCCAAATGTTGTATCGTGCAAATTTTGACCTCAGATGCAAGCATGAGTCTCCTGGTAACTTTAATGGGTGCAATGTACAAACACCCAAGAGGCAAGGTTTAACCAGAAGGAAAGTCTAAATTTATGCATCTGATTCCTTAGTCCACATGGCTACTTAAATAGAAGCTAATTTGTTTCAATTACTTTCTTTCATATATTTTATCTATGGTGTAATTTGTACTGATGTTAATTGATCATTTAAAAGATAGCAATTTATCCATCCCTTTAATATACACATTACTTGAGTCCTCAAAGCATGCAAACTACAATAAGGGAAATGCATTAAACAGTCTCGTAATTTAACAAATGGAAGGCGGTGCTGTACTTCATGTCTCATTTAAAATGCTTAAACAAAGGATTTTATCTTCCAAACTACATCAACACTGCTGCACAAGTTGAAATTGATTTAGTTCAGTTTTGTACAGGCAGGGTACAAACTTTTAGGAGAGAACTCTGAACTATGACAGTCACCCTCCTTTTACCTCATCACCCCTGACATTTTGAGCTCATTTATAATTTTACAGCACTTTGGAATATTTTTATAATGAAGTACTTTACAAATGAGATTAGAGTATTTTTCCTCTTAAAGAGCATCTAAGAAGTAGACCATTAAACAAATTTCTATTTTTTCCATAACCTTGTTCTCTGTACCAGACATTCATTAAAAATATTTGAGTCTCTTTCTGAACTGGGAATGTTGTTGACAATTGGAGCCATATAAGTTTCAAAACATACTTAGCCTGAAGCAAATATTTATGGCTAATATAAAAGCCTGAGAATATGGGATCACAATAAAAATTCAAGAGAGATTTATAGCAGCACTAGAAAGTGAGACCAAGTTACACATATTTTTGCTTTCTCAGAAGGGGCTTCAAGTATCCAAAATATGAATGCTCCCCAGCAACTCAAGTATAATATGCCCAGAGGATTTTAGGTTCCAGAAGTGTGAGTATGCATTAACTCCTTCATTTTGAACCACATTCCCAATCTTTTTTTAGCCATCTGCCATACATTCTCATGTTGATTGCAATGGGGTGTTTGGCAGTAGCTTATATTAATCCCTCCCCCGCCAAAAAAAGCTTCAAGGTTTAGCATTGCTCCCAGCCCCATCCAGCCTGAGGAGCGAAGGTCCTGAAGTTGCATTTAGGCCTCAGTTTTCAATATGTTATCATTGTGCATTACCTGATGAGTAATTTTTTTCCTGTGCTTTACTAAATTGGCTAAAATTTACAGGAAATCTTGGGGATGTAAGTTAACTTTTTGCAGCTCAATTTTCATGTCAACCCCTTCCCCCAACTCTCTACTCAACTACTCACATCTCAAATATCAATTTGTTCTTATGACTGTGATGTTTGTTGTTCTGTTTATATTTGTTAATTACTTTGACTTTTCCTTCATTGTTAGTCATTTGCATATTTCACCGCTGACTGCACAAGTCAACTGTGATATTTAACTCCCTGATTTATTACTTCTGTTAACTCCATTGTGTAAGCATCTTATTTAGAAATAAGATTGGTTGTTCATCACTGATTCCTATGATGCAGACAGTGACTACTTGTTTTCCTTGCCATTCTAATTGCCATTGCTTGCATTCTGATTGCTCACTCAACGGCGTTCTCATGTCCTCCACTGAAACACTCCCACGGTTAGCTTTTTAAAAAAAATTGTGAATGTAGGTATAGCAGTCATTGTCAAACCTGATTTTAAGACTTCTTCTTTTTTTTTAATGTATTGCTACCCCTTCTACGTTTATCATTATGCAACCTCAAGTTTTTAATAGGCTGAGTCAGCATAACTTTTTCTTCTTTAGGGGTTATATAGTAGAGTAGGACTAGAGAAAATCCACTCGCCTGTCATCCAGCTAACAATTCCCTGTTATGAAGCAGCCTAACAATCCTACTTGCTAAATCTCTCCCTAAAGTCTTAAAGCAATCAATTAAATAATCATTATCTCAAGAAAGCTACTCATTTCTGAATATTTTCACCTATACGTACCCTCTTTTTGTGACCAGTCTGCTGTAGCCAAACGGTAATTCTCTTTTGCTTCACTATCTACTTGAACATATCTGCTTTGAACACAGAGTGCTATACAAATTCAAAGTGCTTTGAAAATATTCTGATGTGGGGCTCCCTCAGTTTCTCCTCTTTAAACCATTCCACCGTGGATACAGTTAAAGTCATTGGAGCAGGGAGACTGGATCCTGAGTCTCCCAAACTCCAAGGTGAGTGCTCTAACCACCAGACTGCAGAGTCATTCTCAAGCTTGTTCTCTCTCGCTCCCCGCCCCCATCCCAATGACTTTTTAAATTATCACAGTAGAACAGCTTCAACCAGAGAGATTGAAGAAGACACAATAAAATATCCTGGAGCCCAATTGTTGAGATATTCACTTGGGAGGTGGCAGATACCAGTTCAAATCCTTTGTCTCCCTCAGGTAGAGGGGGGACTTGAACCAGGGTCTCCCACATCCCAGGTAAGTATTTTAGCCATTGGGCTAAAAGTTACAACAGAGATCCTCCTCCTCCTCCTCTCCCCCCAACTGTCTCCTTTTGTGTGAGATTGCCTATGGGTGCCCCATTTGGCAGGCAACCTTTAAGGTACGCTTACTAGGTTGGGCCCTGCAGGCGTTAGGTGGAAGAACTCCTGCCTTCCCCTGATTTGTGCATCTCTCTGTAGCTTTGATGTCTGGATGTGCTGCAGCGTGCATGCACAGAGGCAGGGACATATAGACTTAAGGAACTTTAACTGCAAAACTTTAGGCACCAGCAATTTCAGGCACCTATAGGGTTTAGCAGCAACTGAGTGGGGGTTGTTTGATCCCCAATGGGGCCTGATTCTGGGCACCTAAAGTGGCAGTTACACACCTAGATCCTTTTACATATCTTGCCCCAAATTTTTTGCACTGGGGCTAGACCTTGAAGGGCTCCAGGCTGAAGACCGAATTTGGGAAACCTGATTTACTGACTTGAAATGTTTTGGGCATGTCCTTCCTACCTCAGGAAAGGACAAATAAAACTTTTATTTAATCCTCAGGAGAGAGAAAGCACTTGTGACTTTTTTTTTTAAACAGGTACTTAAAATTAATGAACACAATAATTCTGGCTTTTCATCTCTTTGTGCTTTAGTTCCCGATCTGTCAAATGGGATTAATATCAGCATCTAATCTCACAAAGGTGTTGTGAAAATAAATACATTACTGCTTCTGAAACACTCAGATGAGTGCCACAAAAATGCACATAAGGAAATTAATAATTTTGTATTCAGAGCAGCGCTTGGGTGGTGTGCCATTAGTAAGGCCTGGGACCACGCAAGGAATGAGAAGGATAAAAGTAAATGTTCACTGCATGAGGCAGGTATCCCATGTAAAAAACTAGTATGTAATCATGTAATTAAAGACTATCATAATGAATATGCCCAAAGGAGCAGGATTAAGGTTGCAAAGGGAAACTTAATCCTGGCAATTCCTAATTTTTGAATGCTTGCTTTTGTAATCTTAACATTCTTTTAACACAGTTTTTTGGATCCAATAGAATAATTACTCTGGTGAATCACACAGCCTGCTCTTAAGGTAATTAACTCATTACTAAGTAGAGTTTACACCTTTTCCTCAGTTAGCTTCCTCTTTCCTTTGCTTGAATGAGAACTGTGAGGCATTTTCTACGTCATTCCTTCTGAAGTTTCAATAGATACAAAGTGCCAAATTCAACTGTCACATTTGTGGGTTTAAATCCCTTTACTCCACTTTAGTTCAAGACACTTACTGCCTTGGAAACAAGCACATTGTTCTCATTCCACCTGACATCCAGATCTTGTCACCAATAATTAATCTACTCCCTTGTTCAAGAAAGTGTTACCTATGCTCCTCCACTCCTAATATTTTCAATGGCAACCTATTCATTTCTAAAGCCCATTCAAAACTGCTTCTTGATTTTCAAAACTCTCTGCTGCTTACTCTTTCCCCTCTCCCCCCAACCTAGGCCTCCTTCTGATTCCTTCCCTTGATTCTGGAATGGTGGTGAGTTTTTGTTTTTTTTAAACCTCTGCTGTCCCATCTGATTTCTCCCTAAAGACAAGACTTAGGCTATGTCTACACTACAGGTTACAAGAACGTAAGTTATGTCGCTCAGGGGTGTGAATAAACAACCCAGAGTTACATAAATTACTCCGGCATAAGTGCCAGTGTGGACAGAACTTCTCCCGCCGAAATAGCTACTGCCTCTCGTGGAAGTGGTTTTATTATGCTGATGGGAGAGCTCTCTCCCGTTGGCATAGAGTGTCTTCACCTGACGCGTGGCAGACACCCACCACATAGTCACTTTTCTTGTTAAACCACACTTGAAAATCTTCCTTTTCTTTTTAGTTTATGAAAGGTTCTCTATTAAGGATGAAATTTACAAACTAAATTGTATTTTAAATGTTTGTATATAATATCTGTATAAGAGATATATACAAATCTGACTCAAAGTTCATTCTAGTTTACTACTTGCTAGTTACAAAAATGGATGCGTCTTTAAAAGGCAAGACAAGAAATAAGTTTAAACATTTACAAATAATTGTAGTACACAACTCACAAGCAGGACTGTCCTTTCTGATAAATTAACCTTATGTTTTGAGCTAATGCAATATAAAAATAATTGAAAATCATGCAAACAACTAAATCAACTTTATATGAAGAACCCATGTTTCTCTATGTTAATAATGAAACAAAGAGCATGCACAATGCATAAGGGACTCCCTCTTCTTAACTTACTGATGTTTGCACCATCATAGCTCGCTGGTCTCGCATTTTTCGTACAATATCCAGGGGATAAACAGGTTGGTTTCTTTCAATTAAGCACATGGCTGTTTCCATAGTGACCAATACACCAGTGCGGCCTATTCCAGCACTACAAAATGTAACAGAATCCCCCCACAAAATTAATAGGCTTTTGCCATGCACTGAATACATATCACAGACTAACATTAAAACACTCTACATACCTTTGGGAATAAAGGCAACACAGTTTAAAAGTAAGAATAGAACACAGTGTATATTTTTAGGACAACATAAGCAACATTTTCTTTATGCAACTGCAAGAAAGCAGCATTTTTACATAAATAAAAAGAAAATCCTAGAAAAAATAAAACCATAAGTTTAAGTAAATGACTTTAAAATTGTTATGATTTTAAAAAATGATATATTGTTTTTTAGATTTTATTTAAAATCAACCTTAAGACTGAAAAGTGAAAAGAAGAACTGACGGATTGTTTGTTTAGGGGTACTACAAAAAGGATTTTGAGGTTAAATTCATTATATAACTATTAAAAAGTACGGCTGTTAAGCGATTTAAAATTAATCGTGATTAATTGTATTGTTAATAGTGGTATACCATTTATTTAAATATTTTTGGATGCTTTCTACTTGTTCAAATATGTTGATTTCAGTTACAACACAGACTACAAAATGTACAGTGCTCACTTTATATTTATTTTTGATTACATATATTTGCACTGTAAAAAACAAAAGAATAGTATTTTTCAATTCACCCAATACAAGTATCGTATCATGAAAGTTGAACTTACAGATGCAGAATTATGTACAAAAATAACTGCATTCAAAAATAAAACAATGTAAAATTTTAGAGCCTACAAGTCCACTCAGTCCTACTTCTTGTTCAGCCAATTGCTCAGACAAACAAGACTGTTTACATTTCCAGGAAATAATGCTGCTGGCTTGTTTACAATGTCACCTGAAAATGAGAATAGGCGTTTGCATGGCATTGTTGTTGTCCATGTCACAAGATATTTACGTTCCAGATGCGCTAAATATTCATATGTCCCTTCATGCTTCAACCACCATTCCAGAGAACATGGATGCATGGATGATGGGTTCTGCTCGATAACGATCCAACGCATGTTCATTTTCATAATTTTTCAAACTTTTCATATTTTCATCATCGTAAGTCAGATGCCACCAGCAGAAGGTTTTCTTTTTTGGTGTTTCGGGTTCTGTAGTTTCTGTATCACAGTGTTGCTCTTTTAAGACTTCTGAAAGAATGCTCCATACCTTGTCCCTCTCAGATTTTGGATGGTACTTCAGATTTTTGAACCTTGGGTCGAGTGCTGTAGCTCTCTATAGAAGTTTCACATTGGTACCTTTCTTGCGTTTTGTCAAATCTGCAGTGAAAGTGTTCTTAAAACGAATGTGTGCTAGATCATCATACAAGATGGCTATAACATGAAATATGTGCAGAATGCGGGTAAAACAGAGCAGGAGACATACAATTCTGCCCCCAAGGAGTTCAGTCACAAGTTTAACAAACATGTTTTTTTCCCAACAAATGTCATCAGCATGGAAGCATGTCCTCTGGAATGGTGGCTGAAGCATGAAGGGGCATACAAATGGTTAGCATATCTGGCATGTAAATACCTTGCAATGCCAGCTACAAAAGTACCATGCAAATGCCTGTTCTCACTTTCAGGTGACATTGTAAATAAAAGTGGGCAGCATTATCTCCCATAAATGTAAACTAACTTTTTTGTCTTAGTGATTGGCTGAACAAGAAGTAGGTCTGAGTGGATTTGTAGGCTTTAAAGTTTATATTGTTTCGTTTTTGAGTGCAGTTATGTAACAAAAAATATCTATATGGTAAGTTGCACTTTCACGACAAAGAGATCGCACTACAGTACTTGTATGAGGTGAACTGAAAACTACTATTTCTTTTGTTTATCATTTTTACAGAGCAAATATTTGTAATCGAAAATACTAATAAAAAGTGAGTACTGTACACTTCGTATTCTGTGTTGTAATTAAAATCAATATACTTGAAAATATAGAAAAACATCCAAAAATATTTAATAAATTTCAATTGGTATTCTATTGTTTAACAGTGCGATCAAAACTACGATTAATCGCGATTAGTTTTTTGAGTTAACTGCGATTAATTGACAGCCCTATTAAAAAGCATTAAGTTGCTTATTACATTAAACAACAGTTATTGGTGTGGGATGGTCATATAATCGAACAATGTAACCAGAAAGATTAATCATAAAGGAGACAATGGGCTAGTAAAGAAACCCAACCGCTTACATACAATACCGTAACTTTCGTCTCCATTGGATAACTGCTCACTGACTAATAGGTTTATAGCCTTACAATTTCACATTTATCTCAAGGAATTTGCTGCCCTGCAGAGTGCATACTATTGAATAATGTATAAAATGACACTTCCTTTCTACAGGACAGATGGAATACTAAATCTCTAGGACTCCATCCAATGTAACAGAACTTTTATTTCAAGTACCTGCAATGAACAAGGACCGGTTCATTCTCCACTCTCTTTGGCCTCATACAGGTGACAAACTCCAAAAAGTCCCTGGAGTCATCAGGAACACCATGATCAGGCCAAGCAACATACTGGAGATGGGTGATAGTGTGCTCTTCCTCTGTCTGAAATGCAATTGTAGTGTCATCATATCTCACTCAGTATTGTAGTCACCATATCTCACTCAGTATTGTAGTCACTTTACTAAAGTTCATTGGATAAATGCAATTTGTTTCATAATAAACTTACCTAGGCAGCACAAGGCTCCATATCCTGTACAACAGACTGCAAGATTTTCGAACAGAATATTTTCTTATTAAAAAACAATAAAATAAGTGATTCTTGGAGAACAAAGTTTAAAAATAAATGTAGGTGTTTAATAAGAGCATATTTACTATATATAGCTCCTTTCAGCCCAAAAGATTTCAAAATGCTTTACCATTAATACTTTGGGAACAGTAATTCCAGCAAAGAAATGCAGCCATCTCTGAAGTAACACACGGCAACAGCTATGTACAGCAATATTACACAATAGTTTAGATTAGAAAGGAGGAAATACCTGCTAAAATTGCAGAAGAAATTTACAGGCAGAATACAATTACCAGATTTGAAATTTGGTCTGGACGCGGGGGGTTAAACACTCCTCCGTCATGCAAAAAGTGCCATAGAATCTTTAATGATTAAGTAGTATAGACCTTTGCTTACATTTCATCCAAAAGACGGTATCTGCAGTAGCATCTGCTAACACCGCACTGAATGTTGGTTGAGTACCGACACTGATGGAACAGTGCCACCTGCAAAATTATCACTACCTGCAGCACGCTAGGTTTTCCCTCCAAATACTGACCCAGTGCAAGCCTTGTGACCTTGAGAGATTTAGTAGGATTACAATACAAGGTAATATGACTGGTGACCAGTTCTAAATCTGTTTTCCCCTTCATAGTCATCATACATCTTATACATTGACACACAGGAGAAATGTTAAATAATGTATGTCTATTTGTAGATTTGGTCAGAACATAAGCATACATGGGCATATTTGCTAACTATGATTCCTGTTAACAGGACAGGTTATGTATAGTATATATGGATATGTTAGAGAAATGATTAATGAATTATATTTATACTGCCTGTGGAAGCACTTCATTCTGTATGATGAAAATGTAATTAGTTCAATAGAAAATGTAATTGTACAATAGAATTAGAAATTCTATTGTACAAAGGGCTCTTTTTCATTTAATTATACCTAAGGGAAGTCATGTACTAGAAACTACTTCAGTTTCTTAACTTCCTGTTGATTCTCATCATACAAAAGCACTCCTCTTAACACAATTATTTTCACATGCAAATGCGTTCCAGTGACTGACTCATTCTGCTTTATTTGCATACAAACAGCTGTCAACATATGCACGGGGCATAATTTGAAAAACACTAGTTTTATAGCATGGCTTTGGTCCATATTACATTTAACTTTTTAAACTAGACTGTTTTCCAGTGGTTAGACTGGAAAAAATGAGCGGTGATATTCCCCCAAGCTCTAATATATCACCATGACAAAATGAAATGCCACTCACGAAGACCATGAAAAATCTTCATAATACGGTCAACCCTCTTTCGTCCATATTTTTAGTAACAGTGAAATAGTTAACTATGCTGACATTTCAATGTTCATCATTAAGCTCAACATTAACACTCAAATGAGAAGAATGCTGCTCTCATTCATTCACATTGCCCTCACACTCCGGATATCACTGCATGAGTTCATACTCAGGTCACATTTTAAGTTCACCACGTTTTTTCTGACGGGGTCACACAAGCATCTTTTCATGGTATCAA